ACAAGATAATGCCCGACCACATGTTGCAAGAGTCGCAATAGACTTCTTTCAACATAATGATGTCACGTTGTTACCATGGCCACCAAGATCTCCCGACTTATCCCCAATTGAGCACGTGTGGGATATGATGGTTACGAGATTGCTCAATTTTCAACGTCCTCCTCAGACTCTAAAGCACTTCGAGAGGAGTTGGTGGTTGCCTGGAATGAGATACCACAGGAGGACATTGGCCACCTGATCAGAAGCATGCCTAGGCGCGTTGGAGAATGCGTAGCACATCAGGGTGCATCCACACATTATTAAAGGTCAAAGGGCTTTAAAGCAGTGCAATCATTCTGAAATTTTTATCATTTACTTATTATGCTTCATTAAGTACTTATACAAAATTTTATTAAAATAAAACCATTTGAACTGGGTGTTCGGATTTATATGTCACTTAGTATATATTCATAACATCCCAATAATGTTTAAGGTGCATTATAGAGTTGCTTTTCAGTGACCTAGTTGAGCTACTCGGAGTAACTCTGCAGTGCTCAGCACCAATATTGTTCTACTGAATTTTATATTCCCATAAATACACTTCCTAGAGAAGTGCGGGAGAATATCTCTCACAAACAAAAGATCACTGGAAAGCAGCTTATGTATTCAATTATTTTACTTCATAATTAGTGTTTGTTTTTTTCTTCAGAGGAGTGGATTTGTAAGATGCAGAAGAGGCTTAGAATGTTTTTTAATGATATTGTTCTGGCAAATTAAAGCATTATATCAAACCCAATTTATAAAAAAAATATATAAAAGCATTCCTACAGATTTTTCTAAAATAACCAATGAAGAATTTTCTATATACACTGAAAATATGTATCAGATTAATGTTGCTGTAGCTTCATATTCCTTAAATACATATTCACGAAAAATATTAGATATTTCATCAAAATATAAAATTGATGTTTAAAAATCTTTCCTCATATATTTTCTAAATATCTGGAAAAAATATCGCAAAAATATATAAATTATATACAGGTACTAGAAATATTTATAATATATTATTTTATGAATATATAAAACATATATATTTATTAAATTTTAAAAAATATGTCGCTACAAATATCTAACAAACATTTTTTTAAAATATTTAATAAAATAAATATTTAATGCTAACGGGGCTGTTACCCACTTCATGCGTACTGGAGAGAGTAGCAGATGCGCTGAAGATTAGTCTGCGCAGTGTTCCCCCATGGTACGGAGACTCGATCTGTTTACGTATTTCATATGGCGTTGATGACGTAACCGCCAAGAACGGTGACTACAACTATAGCATTATTGCCAATATACCCCCACATGGCTTCAGCAGATAATTAAAAGGTCTTCCAGATTACGTTTTCTTAGAGCTAGCCTTGGTGCTCCAAATCAATAAACAGCTAATTTTTCCTCTCTAATACAACAGAGTTTTATTAAAGGAATACCTGATAAGGAATATATGATTGCCCCTCATTTTAAAAAATTAAAAAAGTGTTTCAGAACAGTGCCCAGCAGCCATCTTGAAAAGACCCTGTTGAAACCGAGGCAGAAACTTTATGGCTATTTTTTTAAAATTCAGTAAATTGTATATCTCAACACCTAGAACAGAAGTGTCTATTAGTCCAACGTTTTTCTAAGCGTGACTATCAAGATACATGGCTTCTAAGTTGGGCAGTCCGTACCCTTGTGGATTCGTTACATATGATATACACCTAATATCTGTTTGATATTTATTAACGCTCTTGTCACCATCTCTACTAGCTCGATCTGCAGCAATTCTGTCACATTTACAGAGTGGGCCAGACTTGCATGAGTTATGTGCTGCTTCCAGACACAAACCACGTTGTTTTCTTGATAGATATCTATACGTTTTTTATTTATATTAGTCTTCAGTTGTTGCCCAGTTCACCCATTTCTCGAAGTTTTGGAGTCAATTAGTTATACAGACTTCTCAAAAGCACATACCCCATTGTTTGTTAAAACATTCAAATAAGACACTTTGTATATTTTTACATTTTCAAATCTCACTATCTGTAATAAGTCGTTTTTAAATGCCCAATCAAATGCGTATATGTGACAAAGTTAAGGGAATTCGTTCAAAAATATGTCTTAATTAAACCTGTCAATGTGGTGAAGATACGAGTTGTCATACTCTCATGTTTGCTTAGACAGAAAAAAGGTATAAGTGTACGTACACGACAAAACTCAGAAGTATTTGTATGTTATATAAACATATAATAAAAATGGGTTCAAGTGGATTGACTCTCTAGTTCCCACGCCTTCGAATCAACTTCTATGTAGTGCAATGACATCAAAAAGACCAGCAATTGAGCTTTTCATGGAAGAAAGTCCCCAGATTGCAGCAATGACCATATCCGTACACGCGAGCCTCATTTTTTTTTGAAGCTCTGGTGTAAAACTGCTTGTCAACAATGTTTGATAACTGATTATAATAGGTCTTGATAAATAAGTATGTACTAATAATAATACTACGTCACGAAATCAAATAACATCATTGAGGTACACTCCAAGCATAACGATATACCAGGTGTTTCAAATTCGACCCTCACCATTGGGATCTCGGAAACATTGCCACTCCTCTACAAGATAGCATAATTGGAATTTCAATATGAGATTTCGTCTCTTGTCCGCCAGCATCAACTTTATTTTTTTCTTATAGATACCAGGGAGGATTTTTGAGCAGATAAAAAGATTTTTTAATTATGATTTCAAAAATGTATTTTATGGCATACATTGTTTGTCAATACAAACCTTGGTTATTCCAGACAAACAGACCAGACCTCAAATTGAGTAACACAGTTTGGAAGACCGAGAAAAAAGGAAATAAATCGAGCAGTGAGCAATGTACAGAGCTTTGCCTGCAAAATAACACCAGCTATTATTTACCTCTGCTTACGAGTAGGTATTTATGATTATTATTGTTGCTACCATCAATAAAATTTTCATTTTGTGCTCGGGTTTTACCTTATCTTTTTATTTTCTTATAGTCTTCATCAAATAACAAATCCATGGCCAATTATGGAATTGCGTCATTGAATTTAGATCAGAACAGTCCAATTAAATGTACAAAATTCCAATATACCTAATGTCCATTATGAAAAAATAAGGATGGTGGTGGATATCGAAAGAAGAAACCTCGAATTTAAAATTTGAATACGCCAACTTGTAAAGGAGAATAAGTAACACTGACAACATGCAATTTGTTTTGTAATGCAATCTCAAATAAAGTCGGGAAAAAATAAAACTTATTTTGGGATAAATCTGGTACGCACGACAAATGACTATCTGAGAATTTCAAGGCCTAACCTAGAAAATTCTGCGTTTTTTAAATAACTAAGGTTTGGCAATGTCAATGTGTGTAATAAGTGACATCAGTTTTCGTGATATACTTATCATACAACATCCAAAACACATAGCAGGTTGGAATGCAATGCTTAGAAGAAACCCCTTCTACGCCTTTGGCAATAGCCGTTTTTCTATGCGATGCACCCTACAGATTCAAATACGCTGTGCAAACACAGGAACTGTTTATTCAAACCTTTTCCGCTCAAGTTGCTGTTACACCACATGATTAGCCACCGTGCTACACTCATTTGTATCCACCTGTGTTTGCCTTTGGGCTACGATTGACCTCCTGACGTGATTCGGATACCCTATCTTTATTTTGCAGATGGACGTTGAGGACTGAAGGGAGATGTTTAATAGAGAAGCGTTGCAACTGCAAAAACAATAATGTTGTGATATTTGTAATGTCGTCGTTAATTCGCACTAGATAAAAAGTGTTACTTCTGGGATAACAGTAGGTATGAAACTATCTTAGCCGAGAAATGATTCAGATACGTATATCTTGAAAAACAATAATGCAACACCTTTCCGTGGTCCATGGTTGTCTTGCTCATTCATCTGAGCGATAAATGAAGTTACAGAGATTAAGGAAAAACTTGACTGACTCGATGACCTTTCTCATAGTGCATAGTAAATGTTAATTGAAACGTTAGTAAAGTCTTTCTTAGTCATCTGTGGTTTGTTCTGTCGGTCAGGAAAATATGGAGATAAATAAACGAAAAATTATATTAAGCATTCTTCTTGGATATCTGTTGAGGAAACCTTAAAATATAATAGTAGAGTAGCACATCGTAATCAAAAAATATAATGCAACAAAGTCCCGTAAGATGTTAATTGGACGGCATTCAATCTCGGGAACGGTTAGAGTTACGATGTTGAAAAATCAGAGGTCACTTTGATTTCCGATTTAGGTGATATAATTTTTGTAATACTTGCATATGTTTTAGACCTTATTTACAACAAGCTTTAAGTAAAACGGAAATCAGCAGAGCTAATGTTTGAAACAATTATAACGGGTGTTTCAAATGAGATCACGGAAGCGGCAAGGGATACGAAATCGGCTAAATGGGAGCAATGTGCCAATACGAACTGAGGTCTTTACAGTTCCAGCTGACAGCTGCTACTCACTGTTGCAGTGATCAATTGAGGTAACAGATGGTACTTTGTGCTGTCTTATTTCAATAAATAAATATGATTTTATGAAATTTCGGTATCTTTCCTCAATCTCCGGACACATTTTGCGTATCTTTGCTGCCATTTAATCTTTTACCGTTTCCAAGCCCCAATCGTGAGACTCGAGTTTGAAATACCCGGTATATTATATAGGGAAGAGATAGTTCAATCATATTACTCAACTGTGTAAATTTCAAGGAAACATCTTGTACGTTTTTGATCCACCATCATTGCTTTATCCTTTTTTATCTACAATGAGTTATCTTCCATCCATAAATGTTTGTATTAGTAAACCTTAAAAAATGGTACCAAGTAGATTCACTTTCCACTTCGCACGCAATACTGTAATCAGTTCATAAAGGATTATGTTCAGCACAAGTTAGACCCTCTGAGAAAAAAGTCAGTTAAAATGTATAATAAGGAAGTTAAACGGAACAAGTCGATCAAACATGTCTATACAATTAGTCTATAGACATTCTTTCCCTGCCCTACGAGCAACGTCGCCTGTGCCCATACCTAAGGGCCGTACAACTGTAGGACCCCTTTATGGCCTCCTTGATTTTCATGGTTTTCTAATATCCCGTCTCAGCGCTCTATTTCGAGGATATGTTACAGATATCTATTTGCATCAAATTGTTCTTGCTTTTGATTTATATAATCTGTTATATAGCCTGAAATTTTCTACAATTCAAAAAGAAAACAATAGGAGAGCGCTGACGCTGACACGGAACAGTATAAATCTAGAAATATTCCAGCGCTTCTTAAGGAGAGAAAATACTGTGAAAATCAAGGAGGCCATAAAGGCGTCCTACAATTGTAGGAACGACTGACAATACGGCCCTAACCCGGTCTGACGCGGCAGGGCGCAGTAATGCCAAGACTACCAAGTCGCTAGGAGTATGAGGGATGTCTTTTAAGTTTTGCATATGGAAATAAAACAACACGGTAGGTAGTTTTAACTGACATTATTGTTTTTCGAAGTACTCTCCACGAAGATTAATATACATCTGCATGCGCTCGAACCAATTTTCGAAGCACTTATTCCACTCGTTTGCTGGCAGATCCAAAACGGCATTTTTGAATGCGTCAACTGCTTCTTCTGGTGACTGGAACCTTTGACCACGCAGTCTGTTTTTAATTTTCGGGAAAGTAAACAAATCGTAGGACTTAGATCGGGACTATATGGAGGATGGTCCAATAATTCCACGTTTTCTTCCGTTAAATACTTCCTTGGTTTTTGGGCTGTGTGCGAGCTTGCATCGTCTTGGTGGAGGATGATCCTTCTTTCGGGGTTGACTTTTCGAAGCTCGGTGATGACTTTTGGCAAACAAATGGTGGTATACCAATCCGCAGTAACAGTTCTTTGCTCATTAAGAGGAATTGTTGCAATATGATCCGCTTTTGACACAAATGTCGCGACCATCTCTTTCGAAACACTTCGAGATCAGAAACAGCCGACTGTCGTTTATTTTCTGGTTCATAACCGTAAATCCACGATTCATCACCACTAACAATGCTGTACACATTTTTGGAGTTTCCGGAATTGAAACGGTCAAGCGTTTTTTGACACCAATTAACCATGGCTGCTTTCTGCTCTTCAGTCAACAGGTGGGGTATCCAACGCGAAACTAATTTTCTTCCTCCTAATTCTTCATGTAAAATTTTTTGAATAGAGGTCTTTGAGATATGTCACATGTTGTCTATCTTCAATGATGAGTTTGCGCATAGCATCGACGTTTTCCTGGGTGACTGTCGTTTTTGGTGCACCCACCCTGGGATCGTCGCTAAGACTCACCCGTCCACGTTTGAATGTTTGAATTCTCCATACCAACGGGAAGTTGTCGACTGATGTGGCGCTTCGTTGCTGAAAACAGACAGTAACTCAGCAAGGCATTCTTGTTGCGATAATTGTCTCTGAAAGTTTTAATAAATTATGTCGCGAAAATGTTCTCAGGTGAGTTCCGTTTTTCTAATGACTTGGTGACGCTTAAAAATTCAATGTAGTGGAAACACGGCACGTATTGTAGTGAGTCTTTGAATTTAAGTTTACTAAGATTCAGTACTGACGTTCGATCCGCGTGGCCTATTATGTTTCTATATGCAAAACTTAAAAGACATCCCTCGTAGAAGCAGACGCTTATCGAAAACATTTTTCTGTCATAAGTTTTAAGGGTAAATGTATGGGGAAAACTATGATGTGTCAAATATATCTAATAGGTACGTAGAATTATCGAGGTTGAATGAATGAATCTTGAAATTAGAGGCATTCCGGCCACCAAGAGGAGCTAGTACATAGGCCGCTTAAGCGGGCCCTTATGCACCTCTACATTCCTTAAATCACAAGCCTCGACCTTTTAGCGAAGTTGAGAATCCATGAGTACAAGCTCCTTGACGTCCTGAGGGTCCAAAGTAACGGACCCCAGTATAGTCTGCCTATAGTAGCTCAGAGCTTCACAGCGACACAAAACGTGCGCCGAGGTCTCTTCCTCTACCCCGCAGCGTTAACACAAGAGATCCTCAGCCTCCTCACGTGCAGGTGGCGCCTTAACGTGTTATGGCCAGACAACAGTTCCACCAGCAACCTTAGGTTGGCTCTATCCAGAGATAAGCAGAAACGTCCATCCTTAGCACTGGGCCTTTCAATGAGTCCCTGGCCTGGCGAAGATGTCTGGAGATACTTCTCCATTTCTGAGAGTGTTGTCTTGCAACCCACGTCTCCATTTTCCTCCTAGCTCTATGCGCGGTCACTCCTAGAGCTGGCTCAGGACCAACGAGCTTGCTGGCTGATCCTGTCTTCGCCAGAGTGTCCGCCGTCTCTTTGCACCTTCTCCCAGCGTGCCCCGGTACCCACATTAACGATACCGGGTGCCTCTCTGCGAGGCAATCCAGATCCTCCCTGCTTTGCAATACAAGACTCGAAGTAATCTTATAGGTCGTCTACACGGGCCATAATTTTCGGCATTTTGTAGGCGGCATCATATGGCCGGATGATCGCTCGCAACTTGCCAGCCACATTCGGCAATATAACCAAAATATTGCAATATGGCCGAGCAATATATCCTGGCATTTCTTTAGTGCGGCAATACTGGCCGGCAAGTGGCCGAGAAATCGACCGCTTTGCGAATTTTCAGCAACATGGCTCAGCCATCTTTGTATTTGTCTCGCTTCACTTGTTTAGCCGCGCGTCATTCGAGTGTTGTTTTGTGGTGAATTTTCTTAATTTAAAATGACTAATTGGACTAACGAAAAGACTTTACATTTAATTAACGCTATACATTTAGGTCCAGAATTGTGGGATGTTGACAATGTTTTGTATAAACATATTTCGATTGCTTCCAACTATCGTACACTGGTGGAATCTTACTGCAGCGAAGATCCTCCCCTGTTTCAATCTGCAGAAACTCTCACAAGACGAAACTAAATGAAAAACACTAGCGAATTTATCTAGCTAGTGTCTTTTATTAAGTTAGCATATCTTTTGTTTCTGATGAAGTAATATAAATAAAAATATTAACTCACCTGAATAAATTCTTTTAATCCTATCAACAGTGCTCTGCATACTTCTGCGATTATTTATCAGTGAAATAGCTGAATCAGACACCCTAAGTAAATACATCAAACTTTTGAAGCTCTCACCAGTTGCCAAGTATCTTAGTGTTATAGCTAGTCTTGTCGTAGTTGATATCGCTGTTCGCATGTTGGTATCCTGCTTTCGAATATTCGGTCCAATTCGATTTAGTAAAAATTCAAAATCAGTTTTATCCATTCTCGTAAAGTTTTTGAATAAATAATTGTCGAGAGATAACTCTTCACTTAGATTTTGTAAAGTAAGCCTTTTACTTATAAGGCCTAACCCACAACTTTTTTCTTTTTTTAGTGTTCGGTTTCTTTTTAACACAATAATAGCAGCCGCAATAAGCACTAGATCATCCATGGTGATAAAGCAACTATTTGTGTGAATGTTGTCTAGTGTAAATGCAAATTTGCTATGGCCATATGTTGCAGAACGATGTCCGGACATACTCGTCCAGAATGTGGCCTGGCAATATGTAAAAATTCAGTTGCTGGGCCATGCTGCCCGGCTACATAACCCGGCAATGTTTTCAAAAATCTGCATTTTCTATGGCCCGTGTAGACGACCTATTACAGGCACTTAGTGCTTTCATTACATTATCGAGGTTAGTAGCTCATAAATATACTGACATCAAACAATTGAGATGTAACATCCCCCACCCCCTACAAACCCCCACCTCTACCTTTTTGCCCCTAATTTTTTTTCTTAAATTACCTGAAATGATCAGAAACGCCATAAAACGAAGTTTGGGCAATTTTTATATTTCTTTCGCATTTTGTCTTTCTCTGCCGCGACTGGACCGATTTTCAAAAACCACAAAGCTTTTTTGTTCATAGTAGTAGTAGGTATAGTATAGCCGATCGCTTATCTGCCGGCAACTAAAAATTGTAGTGAGGAATTCGCCTGAGTGAATCTTCTGGTTTATTTTTTCTGAGCGTATTTATGCCTCACTTGGAAGCGAGTTTGTATATTGTAATAATTTGAGGGCTACCTTTCTTAATTGGATTGTATTTTATACGGTCATCATATCATGCTCATTTTAATGTAGCTATTTTTCCATCCGCTATAAAATTTACGCTTATGAACTACAACATCTAGATTTCCCTGTACTAGAATGGTCAGCTGTCAAACTGTAATTTTCAACAAACAAAGTATCTTTTACATATCTTAACACTTTCAATGCTAATACACTGTTGACAAACTTCACGGGCGGACGGTGGATTTGTTTGGAAATAATACCGTTAAAATATTGCTAGTAGGTCTTCCATATTATTAAAGTACAATAAACACCTCCCCTCAGGTATTTTTTTCTCTGACGCACTGGTGCGTCATGATATATTGCAAAACGCACCGGGCGTTGTGCGCGCTGCTTTAATACCAAGGCCAACGCACCGGTGCGTTACGCGCACTGAATATGTGCTTTGATGACAAAATCAGCTAAAGTAAGGTCTGTAATTATATTTGCCAATGTGCACGTACACTGTACAACATCTTAAAACTAAACATTTTGCATTGCAAAGCATGGTATGCCTTAAAATATCTGAATCAAACCAACCGCATTACTAAAACGGCATATATCTGATTACCAAAGATTATAGAAAATTAGATTTTGGGGGTAGATAAGCGGATATCATGGCACGCGTCCCGTCACATGCCTGCAGCACACCAGAATGCTCATCTAGCCGATAGGCGCGTGTCGTGGACCATCATCCCTTTATACCGGTTAGGATGGCGGTAGATTATTATCTGCTTTTAGTTAGGAACTTGAGAAAATTAAATATTTACTTAATGGACTTGCTGGAGCTGTCGACAAGCTCCGTGAGATTATTTTACTTTTAGTGTGATGGAATAGGGAGTTTTAAAGAACTGAAGTAGGAATCGGTACTTACATTTCCAGCTGCAACGCTTTCAAGGATCTGTTTTATTGGAACGTGTGAACAATTCTGGAAAGTGTTTTGCATACCTATATGAGTACTTTTTGAAAAGGCCGTGCATGAGATTGGTCGTCAACAGGGATGCGTTTTTTAATCAATAACAAATATTAACAATAATTTAGACTGATTATGGTCGTGTTGCAACTTGGATGTACGATGTGAGCAACACGGATGAATATCTGTGATATCTGATGTGCATCTTACCTCCAGGCTGCTATTATATCCTAATCATTGCTGTTAGTTGAATAGGCAATTACATAAAAAGTGAAATATCAGACTACAAATGATTTAAATAATATTTAGGTCAAAAAATCCCGTCGTGAAATTCTTTTCCATCAACCGATCTCGCTCTGAGCCAGGCAGTGTAAATTTCTCATGCCGAAGGTAAAACGACACCTCCAATAATTATCGAATCGATGCTTTTGAAACTCTATATTCACGTATACACAAGAAGGACGTTCAGGAAAATTAATCCCTCGACAGTTTTTAGAGGAAGTACACGTTGTAGGATGAGAAATATTGCTTCCCTTCAATGACGGATTTGCGAGATTGTTATCTTGTCTTTTTTTCATGCGCCGACTGAAGGGTATTATTTCTGGCGAAATGGTATCAGTTAGATTGACAGGCTGTTTCTCTAACGTCTTAACTTTTGAGGTAAAGGTGGTAAGGTTTTCAATATAGTCCGTGGCACGTCACTTACTACCTATGCTTAGAAATGATTTAAAGAATAATTTTCATTTTAAGAGAAATCGGTGGCGTCCAATCAACGTCTGTCAAAATAGGGAGGTGAAATTCCGTACGAGTGCCACTGGTGGAAATTAAAACATTCATTAGATACATTGACAAATGCCTCTCGATACATGTACATATATGCCAAATTTCATTAAAATATCTAAAATGGTATTTACAGATAATACTTAATATACAATGATTTATTTTTCAAAACTTTGATACCTTGTACCTCAAAAGTTAAGAAGTGTTATTCTTAAAACGGACTCAAACATCGTTCCCTTAAATATTGAAATTTAGGAAATACTCTGTATTCTCAAAGTTCCCATACGTTCAAATTTAAAATCTTTGTTGCTCAAATGCTGTCTAAGCACCATTATTTGATATACACGGTGATCCATAATGATAATAAAATGTTACCCGATAAATAGGTACAAGGATAATCGAAGTATAATTTTCGAAATCTTGGCTATGTTCGACAACTGATTCGACAAGTTTTCGAACTAATACGCATTGCGGGAGAGGCGCCCGTCCCCTCTCTCGAATGGGACAGTATGCTGATCACATTTGCCAATTTTCCCGTGAGTTACTACTGCTGAGGTCCAAAAATATTGTGAAAGCGCCGAATCTGCGGGTTACTTAGGCTGAGCGCATACATTCGTTTTCCGTATACGGTTTCCTAATCAGGAATTCCAATTCGGAATTCCTTGAGCCTAGCGCAAACGTTCAATTTTTGGAGTGAATATTATACTACCAGTACGTTCAGTGGCGGCACTGTGAATGCTAGGCCATGAAAATCGACGATTTAATTGCGATTGCACTTCTATTATCATTATCAAAACAAAAAAGGAACGTCGGTACTGGGTGCAACCGTTAAACAGACGGAGAATCTACGAGAGTCCATTTTATCGAAAAAGAGCAAAGTTACAAGCACATCCAGATAAATTCATTGATTTATACAGGATGTCAATACAATCTTTCGATGAACTACATAATGACATACGTGATAAATTAAGGATGCAAGATACCTGGATGAGATTATCTCTGGATACACAACATAGATCTACAAACCGAGGCCGAAGCATACCTAAGAGACGAGTTTGCTCAGTAATTTCATCACGCCGGCAGGAGAAATGTCATACCTATTTAACGGAAGGGTTACCAATTTAGCAATAAAAGTACAGTAGGTAATAGTCTTTGTAATAAACGTGAAAGAAAAGTAATTTTACTCTTGTTTTCTGCTTCCACTTTTGTGCACGAGTTGCAGTCCTGTATAACCTCTTTGAAAACTTGCTCCCACGCCAAATCTTTAACATCTCTATTGTGGTAGTCCTTGTCATGAATGTCCCACAAGCAGGAGTGCTTTTCAATAGCCAATGTTAGTTCTTCTGCTTCACACATTGTCCTGATACATTCGAGCTATTGATGTAACGACGTGACGTTCAATACATACGTCACTGCGCGGTTCTGGATGGAAATTTCCGACTGTGTGCGGCGGTACATTACAAATGTATGCCAGTGCTGCGGTCCGCGTGACGTCACTAGGTTTTATCCCTTCCGTTTTTAAGAACGCCCGGACTTGCTTCCGAAATGTAAGTACGGAATGTGTTCCGTTCGGAAAAAAAAAACGAACGTTTGTGGCAGTCAATGTATTTTATTAGGGTTTGATTCATTCGGGTCTTCGAATACGGAAAACGAATTCGGAAATCGAACGCGGAAAACGAATGTGTGCGCCCAGCCTTATTCGTCCCAAAATTTGCAAAGCAATATTTAATTAGCCTGATTCAGAGTTTGTAAATTGGGATGTTTTAGAGCTTAGAAAATTACACGTCGACATCCTTAGTGGGCACATTTGGTTCACTATGATTATTTTCATGTGTTTAATCCAAAACGGCTCTTTAGCAAAGGCATTACGGATCAGCATCACAGCATGTATATAAAATAATGGTGCTTTTCAAATGAGAATTAAAAACTATTTACCTATATGTAGAAGAATCCGATATGGCGTCTGTAAGAAAAAACAATGATGCTCGAGGTGAAAAGACTAAACATCATTCTGAAATCCTAATGAGAGAAAGTGGTAATGTCAATGTACTTTTTATTTTGCAATCCCATTCCAAGTAGAGTCAGGAAAAAATAAAATTCGTGTTTTTCCGGAAATACTGGGAATTGCGATACTTTCTAAGTGCCATTTTCTAAGGTAACTAAATACGCAACTTTGCTCCCGTTTGAATGATTTCATATCTCATATAGGACCTTTTACGAGATCTCAATGGTGGTGAGAGTCGAATAAACAGCCGGTATACTCATATATGAAAATATCTCAAACACAATTATTATTAGTAATAATTGCAAGCTCCTTTATTCAATTTATCAAAACAATTCCCAGCACACAAAGTAGGGAAACACCAACCACCCCTCCGCAATTACCTCATGGAGTGGGCGGGGTTTTAATCCCTATTTCACAGCCATAGCAACCAATCGGAGAGGGCAGCATTCGGCCAGGGGTGGAAAACGAAGTCCTATTGATTTAGGCTGACGCTGAGGGTGAGGGTGGTTACTGAAATTAGACGGAGACCGATGGGGGATGCCTGTATAACATAACTCAGAAGATTTTACAAGGAGAGGATACTATTATAGGCGATTTTATGTGTAGTTGGCTTTAAAAATATATCCAACTAGCTGCTACCCGCAACT